TAAATGTGTGGGCAGCAGGCAAGGCAGGTTGCAGGCAGGGCTGGCAGAGCAGGCAGCAGGCAGGGCAGGCCTCCTGGAGGAATGCAGGGGCCCCTGGGGTAGCCATGGGGAGGAACAACATCTCCCAGCCCTGCCCTGCTGGTTTCCTGAAAACCTTTTGGAAGGCAGAGGCTGAGGTTTGGCCTCTCCACCTCTACAGTGTCCCAGCCAGCAGCCTGGCTCCCGGCTTGAGCCCAGCTTTCCCACCCACTGCAGCCCCCAGGCTCACCTCTACAGTTGCCTTGCTCCATCCCTCCCTACTCCTCCACCCTCTTATTTGCCCTTCAGCTCTGCAGATGCATCATCCTCCTGGTAGAGAGCACCTGGCTGGTGCAGATAAATGGCACATTTATTGAAAACCTCTGTTAGAAAGCTGGAAGGAACGTTCATCATTTCCCCCTGTGATTCACTCGAGGGTTCAGAGATGCTGTGGCACTGCCTTGCAAAAAGCTGAGAAAGTCCTTTGCTCCTGCAAGAACCAAGCCAGGCTCCATCCTGGAAATACTTCTGCCTTATAAATTGCTCACTCTGTTTATATTCTAGCACTGAAGCCCTTGTTACTTTCCTGCTAAAACACACAGAGTGTGTATCACAGGCACTGCAGAGTGGTGTGCATAGTCCAGGTTCCTGTGGGAAAAGACCTGCCTGGGACAGCTATGTCCCTGGGGAGACACAGGCACCAGGGATTAGACCTGGAAATGTCCACAAAGAAACTGGTGTGCTGCCAGCTGCCGGTTCCTTGTACTAGTTGGGTTGCAAATAGGCAGCCAGAGTATGCAATAGTTGCTTTGGGAGAGAGAGATCTAGCTAAAAATTGGCACCCAGACACCTCCTAATCGTGTTTTTCTATAAACTATACAGCCCCAGGCTGTTGTCATGCTTTAAAATCTGAGGGCGTTTTCTCACAGAAAAATGATCGGGGGTGGGGGGGTGGATTTCTCCACGTTTTCTCCATCTCCCTGCAATGTGAGTCCGGATCCCAACGTGGCAGCAAAAAATAAAGACAGATGATCCCCTCCCTGCTCTCAGTTGCAACTTCCCTGTTTACCCAGGCAGGCAGTGCTTTGCCCCAGCCTGCCAGCCCTAGAGGGCTTTGCCACCCCAGCACAAGGCTGTGGTGATGTGCCCGGCACCCCCACTGAGATAGGGCTGAAATCTGGGAACATCACTAGGGGCTGCTTCTCCCCAAATCACTGCCTCCCTCTGCCCCACGGGCAGCTGCGATTGCCACGTGGAGTGGGACTGAGTTACAAGCTGTCAGCGTTATTTTGCATGAGTAAATGCAGTGTGTAAGCCTTGCCCACAGGAACAAAAACAGATTAAATGAGCAATGTGTGTTTTTTTTTTCCTTCAGGGGATAGAGTTTAGAATAAGTCGATTCAAATTGGCATGTAGATTTTGGTCCTGTGCTACAACAGCAATCACAGACCCCTTAATTTCTTAATAGGCATGGGCTGTAAAAGTCACAGGAACTATAAAAATGCGGGACCATATCTAATCGCAGCAGAAGGGTCTGCAAGTCAGTGTAGTATTACATCTCCAGTCTAGTAGAAAGTTCAAGTTAATCATCCGCTCACTCGGGAATAGCTCTGGCCCAAATCTCACAGAAAGAATAAATCTGAGCATGAAACTTCAAAGGTATTTTGCTGCCTAACGTTCACTGAAAGCGTTGCGAATTCAACACCAAAATGCCTTTGAGTTGCTTGGCTCCGATCCCCCTTCGAAGGCGCTTGCCATCAAAGTGTCTGCTCATGCATGAGGAGCCTGGAAGGAGGCCAAGCCCAGCGCGACGGTTCCCTGTGCGAAGGGCTTCTGCAGCCTCTTCCACGTCGTCCGCACAAGCATTGTTCTGCAGACAGCTGATTTGATCCTCTGGCATAGGAAGGAAATGTACTTTACATAGCTGGTGAAGGTCAGCAGCATCCAGAGCGGCTGTTTGGCAAGAAGGCTGCTTCCCCCCGCTCCTTCCCGCCCCAAGGTGGTGAACTCCTGTGGGTCGGGCTGGAAAAGGACTTACAGATGTCAGATAAAAAGTAATAGCACAAAATGCATGCGTGACCCTTAAAAAAGAAAGTCAGAGAAAAACCCCCCGATCTAGGGGAAGTTACAGATTCTTCCTTGGTTTGTTTGTTGAAAGCTGAAAACAGAGACGTCTATTCCCAAACACTTCTGTTACACCAAAGGTTTTTTTCCTAGAGGGATGAAGAGCCTCATCTCTGTGTGTTTGAAGAAAAAAACTCCAACAGACACACAAGTCTGAGTCTCTGATGTACTGGATCACACTGTGCCTCCCCTTGATTAACTTTACATCCTTTGGTGAGAAAGATGCGAGAAGGTGCGAGAGCGATGTGTAATTTCCTTTTCAATTGCTCTTTGTCCACTAAGGTCGCAGATTTCTCCGGTGAGTAAAGTGCTCACACTCCCATCCTTATCTACCTGCTGCTCTGTTTCCTTTCTGTCATTCTCCATACAAATATTGACTCAAGCAACCCATGGCTCAGTACCAACTTTGTTGCCTATTGTTTTAGCTTTGGACCCTCCCCATTTCAAATGAAAGCAGCCATACTGAAAACAGACCATCTCAGCTAAGCTGGTCTCCAAAAGCAGCCTGAAGCCAGGGAGGCGGCATCCCACACCTCAGCCCCTTTCTGTGGTTCTCCTCATCAGCCCAGGATGTTGCAAAACCAGACCTGAACTAGACCTTTCCGAGGATGCTCTTCAGACACTGAAACTGTTTTGGCTTTCACTGCCCCAGCTGAGCTTAACCTCGAACTCGATGGTTTTGGTCAAGTCCCGCACTCTCACTCTTGGTGAGAGTGAGCTGGTGGCTCGACCCTACACCTGCCTGGCATGAAACAGCTGCTGGGGGCCACTGTGGCCTCCCCCAGCCACAAAAATGGGAGGCAAACCCTTTCCACTCCGGTCTAAAGGGCCCTGCCACAGGCAGGGGCTTGCTGTTCTTTGCATGACAGACGTCCAGATGGAGGTTGAACCCTCCTGAGCTGTCAGGGCTTGTGCAAGGCAACATTTAGCCTCCAGCTTCTCCCAAAGTGAAACAGAGCTTGTTGGGATCAGCCTAAGGGAGCTGTGACACCCCTCCTTCCCTCACCCCCAGGGCAGAGGAAGGCTTGGAAAAGTTTGATAGATGGGATTTCTTGACAGTTGGGACATTTCCCCGATCTTGTGAAAAGCCCCAACACCATAAATCCTTTAAAAAAGTGTCAGGCTATGATTAATGGCAGCATTTGCTAAGATCCCTCTTCTCCAGGTCCTGGGGAGTGGGGGAGCGCCACTGCTGTGCTTTGCCCTGTGCTGGGGTTGCTAGCCACCTGTCTCTCTTTCCTAGGAACCATAAACCCGCTTATCTAACCTGGTGCTGTGGCCGGGCTAACTTTTGTGAGTCCAAAGTTTATCAGCCTACCAGCTCAAGCTCCAGCCTCAAGCTGTTGCTGCAGGGACAAGCCTCCTGCCCCTCGGTCCAGCACGGATCCTCTTTGGAGGCACCAAACCAATTCAGAGGTTGCTTTGAAAGAAGACAGGCACCTTTTCCAGGGGCTCACAATGCCATGATTTTTAAGCACATTGGGCCAAAACTCACTGGACGAGTCAGGATATTTTAGATTTGGCCTCAGTCACTCAGGAGTGCTTTTGTAAGGAAACTGCTAAAGAGGGGAGAAGATTTTTTTTTTTCCCCTGACATGTTTTGCTCACAGCCCAATTCACAATTATTAAAGGCAGCGAATTTCCACATTCCTTAACATTTGGCCCTACCTCCTGGAGCCTGGGGGAGAATTACAAAAATAAGTTCTGGGAACGCAGGACACGTGCCTGGGCCCGTAGGATCAACTGCACTAGTAAATTTACTTGGAGGTACCACAGCTCCCTACACACATCTCTCCCAAGCCTAGAAGTTCCCATTGTAGCCCCCTCCTCCCCTGACCTCTGGGCATCCCCAGCTTGTGTTTTACCATGGAAATTTTGCAATTGGCCCATGCTGACGGAGGAGGGAGCCTGAGATGCAAAGTGCAGAATCACAAGGGTAAGTCTTTAATCATGTGCCTGAGGTGTCCGATCACGTTGGGGCACCCCGAATGCACTTTTACACCCTGTTCCTATACCTTCAAGCATTCAAACAACATGATTTGACCCATCCCTAAGTAACACACACAGGCCACTGTATTGCAAAGCTACTATAAATTTATGACGTCATGATCCATCTGCTTCTTTCCTGACTTAATGTCCCTGGAGTTGGTCTTGCTGCAGATACATGTCTATGATGCTGGATAATAGGGTGGGGAGGTTCCCAAAGGCGTTAGCAGAGCTGGGATGCCAATGTTACCTTGGGCATCCAGGGGTATCCTTTATTCTTCAGGTTAGGGGCTGTCCTCCTTGCAACGATCCGAGGTCCTTCAGGCGTGCTCACTTAGGCATGACTATCCAGCACAGAATGTGTATCTATATTAAGAAAATTCATACAATTTCCTACTGTACAGACTAATTGCTCCAACAGTTACGGAGATTTTCCTCACAGTTTTTCATGGGGGGCGGTGCTGGTTTCCCTCACGACGGGCAGCTGTGACTTTTTACAAATTATTTCCAGGAGGGTTTCGGGGCTGGCAGGGTGAGAAAAGGAATATTATCTATAGGGGGGGGGGGACGAGGTCACCTGTGTGACTTTAACCACGGCGTGCACGGGTTTCCAAGCCCCCTTCCCAGCTCTGCTGCCTCACCCGGCCCCTTCCCAAGCGTGATCTGACACGCTCTGACGTCTTTGGAGCCGCGCGTGACGCCCTTGGATCTCCCGCACGCGCGGCCCCCACGGAGCTGGGACGAGCGCGCGCGGAGGGAGGGGCGTGGCCAGGAGGCGGGTCCGAGGGCGTGGCGTGATGAGCCCTCCTCTTTGCCCCGCCCACGGCCACACCCACGCGGGGACGGGCGCGGCGGGAGCGCGGCGGGACGGAGTGGGCGCCGCCGCCGGCATTGCCCCGATCCCGGCGGGAAACGGGAGCAGCAGGAGGAGAACGAGGAGGTAGGCGGGGGTCGCCCCACTAAGCCAGGCAGGATGGATAAGTACGACGACCTGGGTCTGGAAGCCAGCAAGTTCATCGAGGACCTCAACATGTACGAGGCCTCCAAGGACGGTCTCTTTCGGGTGGACAAAGCTGCCGGCAACAACCCCGAGTTCGAGGAGACCAGGCGGGTCTTCGCCACGAAGATGGCCAAGATCCACCTCCAGCAGCAGCAGCAGCAGCAGCAGGAGGAGATGCTGATGGCCGCGATGAACGGAGGGGCTGCCGCCTTCCACGCCGCCCGGCCCAGCCCGCCGGTGCCGCGGGGGGCCAAGCCACCCCCCGCCGCCGAGGGGCCCCGGGCGAGGCCCCACGAGGGAGGGGAGCGCGGCTTCGGAGAGAGCGGGACACGTGCCGAGGCCGCCGGGAGCCAGGCCGGGCGCCGGGGCTGGGAAGCGGAGCCCGACAGGATGCCCAGAGCGGGGTGCTCGCAGCCTGGCGCGGGGCGCGGGGAGCAGCAGCCCGGGAGCCCCGGGCAGCAGAACGGCGGCGAGGGCCGGAGAGGTGCTGGGGGCCGTGACCCGACCCCAGCCGGGCAGAGATCCTCCTCCTTCTCGAACGCCCGCACCGCCCCGGCACCCTCGGCAGGGCCAGAGGAGGCCGTGCCACAGCCGCGGTCTTCGTCCTTCTCGACGCCCTCGGTGCAGCCCGCCCGGGGGTTTTCATGCCCCGCTGAGCCCTGTGGTCCCAAAGCCGGAGGAGACGGCAAGCAGCTGTGGTACCAGGGTGTCTCGCTGCCCTACCCGCCAAGCTCCGCACCCGCTGCCCCCAGCGCGGACTACCAGCACTCCGCTGCCTACCCCAGCCCAGGGGGCCACTTCGTGGCCCACGGGCAGAATCACAAGCCCAATGGCAGCGGCGTGAACCCAGAGCCGGGCTCCTCACGCCTGGCCTCGCGGGGGCTGGCGGCTCCAAATGCTCCACAGCCGCTTTGTCCGGAGGGAGTGAGCGGGCCACGGTCAGACTCCGGGCACCTGGATGGCTCCAGCGCAGCAAAGGTGAAGCTGCCCTGCCAGACCCTTCTTCCACAGCCAGAGCAGGGGCCGTCGGCAGCCGAGCTGAAGCTGGAGGCACTGACCCAGCGCCTGGAGCAGGAGATGGATGCTCGGCCAAAGGCCGATTACTTTGGTAAGGAGGCAGAACACCTGTTGGCAGGAGGAGGGGTCATTGCAAAGTGTCGCTGCACGGTTTGGACCCGCAGGATTGCCATTTGCCTGTACCTCTGCTTGGTTGTGCTCTTTCAGTTGCCCAGAGGGAGGGTTTGTTATTTAACTGTTATTTATGACAGGGACTGGAAGCTCTTCCTCCTGTGACACCTTTCTCTTTAATCCTAACTCTTTAATTTTAAAGCAAAGGTAGTTTAGCAGCTTTGGGGAAGGACAGTGCTAGAAAGAAGCTAGAGCAGCTATATTTTGAAGTGCCCTTCATTGCCAGCAGGGAGGCACTTAACTTTTCTTGACAGTTACTCCTGGTTCTCCATGTATTAAAAGGATGTGGCCAGAGCACGTGTGGGCAGGAAGACAGCCATCCAGCCTGCGGAAGAGCTGTGCCTGTGCGCGCTGCAGTCGTGGAGAAGGGCACAGAGCTCAGGGGAGGCTTGGTGGCACCCACCCACTCACTGAGGTGGCCACGGCCCTGTATGCTTAGGGGATCTCTTCAAGAGGGGTTGCTTGGGGATGGGAAGAGTCATGGTTTCCCGAAGTTGCCAGGATTGGCAACTTGTTCCCATCAGCACTGAAAGGACGGGTGCATCCTGAAAATGGCAGAAAAACAGGTGGTGGCATGTTCTTCCCTAATTTCTTGGGTTTACGAGGAGTCCACACCACCACCAGAGGTTATCGCTGGCACTTGGCAGTGAAAAGGGACCACTTACCTGCGAGGGTCTCCTGGTTAAAATATTAAATGTCCTGCCAGGATGGCAGAAGGTGAGGGGCAAATTCAGTGTTTCCTTTCCTTCTGTGCCACTTTACAAGAAGATAAAATAGTTCAGCCTTTGGGAGAGGGAAATCCAGAGTTGCTGGGAAGGCTAAGAACTGCACAGTTAGCTCAACAAACAACAGGAGCAGGTCTAGTGTATGAATTTTCCTCATGGTTTTAGATTGCCAGTCACAGAAGTAGAAGCAGGGACGGATTAAACTCTCCATCTTGGTGCCCAGGAAGGGTCTGTACCTCAGGCTGCACAGGGGCTGTTACACAGGATTCTGTCCAGTGGGATCACTGGGTGGCTCAGCAGTAGTCTGAGCCACACAAGGGCTTCACACCAAACTTTGGGGATGTAGCTGGAGGGCCCACCGAGTGCCCAGCTGCAAATTGCGTAACAAAATGTGTCTCTTGGCATCAGGCGGCAGTCCTTGCCCACAGAGGGTTGTGCTGGGGTTATTTATTTAGTATCTGAGAGTGGATTCAGCCCCGTGGCAGGGCAGGCACAGATTTTTTCCTGTCGCAGAAAAGTGATGTGTTGAGTTGCTGTACTTAGAGTGTTTTGGCCTGGAAACGTGTTTTGGCACTTTCCGTTCCGTGCGGACAGCGCGCGGTTTGAATGGGCTCAAGGAGCCTTGGGGCAGTGGGACAACTGAATACCGGGACAAAGAGGAGATGGGGTTGGGACAGCAGTCTTGTGAGAAGCGGTGCTCAAAAGTGGGAATGGTTTTCTGGAGGTAGTGGCGTTCAGGTCCGCTGGAGACGTGTCAGGGTTCTCTCAACAAAGCCTGCTGCGTGTGTCTTCTCTTCACGGTGCAAGTAAACCATCTGGATCGTACCTCATCCAAAATGTGCATGGGGATTGGGTGAGGAAGCAGGGGAGCCCGGTCAGTGGTTATATTATTTTTACATTTTTGCCACAAAATAAGGGTTAGAGGCAAAAAGAGGCTTTTGTCCTATGGGCAGTTTATAGTGAAGCAGGAGTAATTCTGGCAGCACAGAGAGTCCGGCTGGTCAGGCAGCTGAGGTACCCGTGAGCCCTAGGGAGGGAGGAGGGATGGAGGCTGTGAGGTATTTTGGCATCCTGCTGGCAGGAGGTTTTTGCACCAGAATGTAGTGTCTGAGAAATTTGGGAAGGAAAAGAGGGAGAGGAAAAAAAAGAAACGATGCAGTCATGGCAGAGGAAGAAATAAAGTTTTGTGGAGCCACAGCTCTGTGGGGGATGGCTCAGCAGATCTGCCCTGCAGAGGACCAAGGAACAGGAAGGGGCAAGTACTGAGGTATTTTAATTCTGAGCCTCCTCCTCCCACTCTCTTTCTCACTTTTATTTTCATTTTTTGCAGTTACCTTACTTCCTCTGTAGGAATAAAGGGCCCAGCTGGCCTTCTGACTCTGTTTTTGCTATGCCCTACCCTCAAGCAAGCAACTTTAGGATGGAAAATAAATACTTTTATGTAATAGTGATAAAAAGGATCAATAGTTTGTTTTGTTGCAGAATTTTCCCCCAGTGAAGGGAAGTCTGTTGCAGCAGCTTTGCAGTACACTGGAGCCAGGAAATTAAACTAGGACTGAAGTGCAAATGAAAAATGCAATTTTATCAAAAACGTTTTCAGTTCTCCTGATTTTGTGTGCTGCTTTTGTAACAAGGAGATTTTTTTGAAGATGAGATTGTCTGCTGTGTTAACATACAGTCCTTTAGTCTGTCTCAGTCAGAACCAGATATTTATAATGAACAATTGACTCTGATCACAGTAAGGGCGCTGCTTTTTCCTTCACTATGTTAAAATGTGTGTTTGTAAATGAAAGCCTAGGAAAGGATAAGCCAGGGGCTAGGCATTATACAGGTAGGATGCTCCACTGAGGAGAAATAGCCTGGTTGTGTGTCAGCACCAGCTTGCTGTGCAAAATGCTTTTTGGCTGCTCAGAGTATGTGTAATAAGTGAAAGGAAAGAAGCAAACAAAGCCAAGAATTCTCTTTCTTTTTTTTTTTTTTTTTTAAATAGTGACCTATGTGTGAGCTGCATAGGCTTCACGTGTCTCTGGAGGAATTTGAGTTCCCCAAGAGGGCTTTTGAAGTGCTGACTTGATTTATGTGGGCTGTCAAGGAGTACATAGGGAGTCTCAGGTATCATCCAGGTCTTAAGCTTGGGGAGGGAAAACCTGAAGTTGCTCCCTGGAGGGGCTGGTTCCCATGCAGGGAAGGGGCCCCGTGTCCCCAGGAGGTGTTGCTGGAAGCCAGCTTAGGATTTATTCAGTTTTTTTTTTGGTGTGCTGTTTTCAGGGACCATAGAGGAGTGAGGTGCCTGAATCCCACTGATTTTCCATGGTGTTACTTTGGGTGAACCTGCCTTCATCTTCCCTTGGCGAAATGGAAGATTACTGAAATGAGTGAATGGCAGAGTTGCAGCGGCTGCACTAGGCACCATCCAGATGTTTAGTTAAGTGAAGCATTACCATAAGGACTGGTGCTGCATGAGTTTTCGGGTGAGAGCCAGACAGGTGCACAACCAAACCACGCATCTGCCTGCACTGCCTGGAAGTTCCTTGTTAGAGGAGAGGCCTGGCTGAGCTGTGCTGGGGTCTGCAAGGAGGTTTGACTGTTTCAGCAGATCCCATGGCACCACATAGTTCCTTGGTCTGCAGGCACAGATGGGTGCTTTTAGAGGCGTAACGTGTTGCATGGCATTTTGACCGGTGCTTATTTCATATGGCGAGATGGAAATCTCCACCTGATGGGGGATTATCTACACCCTTACCAAGAACTCTTTTAAAAAACATTTTTTCTTGTTATAAGTGTTTGTTAGGTGTTGAATTCTGGCTTCCTTGGTACTTAGAGCAGAACTGATAAGCTGTGGGTGTTTCTTAGGAGGGCCCTGGGCATCTTGTTTTGGAGTGAAAAACTGGGATGCTTCCAAACAGTCGGGCACAGAAGGTCTCACAGCAAAGTCTGCAGATTGTTTTTTTTGCCTTGGCAGAAGCAGAGCAGTAGCTGCATCACTCAACCCTGTGGAGACCTGGAGCCCCAGCACCTTTGAATGGGTGTGGGCAGCTCAAAGGCCAGCAGTGCTCTTTCAGAGTGTTGTGCACAGTCACTGTGTTTCACCACTGCTGAAACCGCAGCTCATTTAACTTTAGGGCTGAACACACCCATGGACTTTATGGAACCCTGCTGGTGGTGCTGCAACCAGGATGCTTCAGCAGCAACCAGGGCATTTCAGGGCTGGCAAGTGGAGAATTTTCTGGTTAAAATGAAGGTTCCTCTGAGTTTCTTTTGTATGTAATGGGCGATGATAAAGGCATCATTTCCACCAGGAATGAGCAGAGGCATCCTTCGCTACCTGCTCCTGGGAGAATACCAAAGCTGAGAGGAGATGCCTGCCTGCAGCAGAGAGGAGGGGGATAGGCAGGGTGAGGACAAGGAAAGTTTCCTGGTGGAACAAGGAAAGCTGAAAGGATCGCGGCGCTTGGGCTAGTGGGTGTGTGCGGATTGCAAAGCTTATCTCCCTGCAAGGAACCAAGCAAATAAGGATTGGCCTGGAATATGGTTCTTCAAGATTACAGCAGTATGCACTTCTCCTCCCTTCCTCTGGGGAGCTCAGCTGAGTTTGCAAGCTAAGGAAAAATATATCAGAAGGAAAGAAAAAGGAAGAAGCTGAGGCAGAGGAGCAGTCAGTCTTTCAACCAGGATTCTGTGGCAGTGGGAATTGGAAGGAATAAGGAGCCTCATTCATGTGGCACTGGAGTTATCATAATCTCTGATGGCACTGTAAGGTACTTAAAATGTCACTGACGTGAGTTCGATGGCATTTTCGTCCTTCGCTGGCAGTGTGTACATGAAGGTCTGCAGCAAGGTCTGGGGTCAAGAACATGGCATGAGAAAAGGTACAGAAAAATTGTGTTTACCAACTCTGTGGTTCTTTGGGCAGAGAGTATTTGTGCATCTTTGCTACCACTGTTCACAGTAGTGAACAGAACCAAACTGCCAGGTTTTCCACGCACTTCATCTCACCCGGGCCTCAAGATCCCCTTGAAATCACCTCTCCAGCAAGAGCGATGGCACAGCAGTGGATAACAGCTTAGCAAGGCATGCAATGTGTGTAACTTAGAATTTGATGCAGAAATTACTTGGTTATGGTGAGCCATGGGGAGGTGAGTTCAGGTTCTGGATAAATTCTGAAGTAAAACCAGAACTGAGCATCACACTGTGT